GCCTGATGTAGTGCTTCGTCACTTGATGCAACAGATAGCGTTCCTGTCGGAGCGAGTTGCGCTTTTATCGTCGGCAAAACCCGGAGTCGCAGCCACTGAAGTGACATCCTTACCCGTTGTTGACGAAGTGCGCCGTGAACCTTTGTTTTACAGTTCAAACTATAATTATACCATGCCGCCTGCTGATTCCAACCTCCCTTCGTTTGACGTTCCTTTGCCTTCTTCGGCTAGTGTCAATCGGTTAGTGAATACGAGTCAACCTCAATCATATCGGAGTCGTGTCGAGCCACAGTTATCGGAGCTTGCTTCTGTGCCCACTGCTCAAGCGGTCACTCTGTTGGCCTCTCAATTATCTCCATTCCAAGGAGCTGAGGATGAAGACGTCACCCTTTGGTTAAGCAAAGTGGAAAGAGTCGCTGCAATCCATGGTGTAAGCAGCAATGTTAAATTGTTAGCTGCCACAATGAAATTACAGAAATCTGCATGTGAATGGTTCGATTTGGATATCGAGCTGGTTAATGAATCCTGGGATATTTTCAAGTGTGCTATTGCTCAACGCTTTAAAAGACGAATGTCGTATTAGGAGACCATGCAAAAGGTCGAATCAAGAAGGTGGAATTTTAACAAAGAATCCTTTCAAGACTACGTCACTCAAAAGATGAAGCTGCTTCAACCTCTTCGTCTTCCTCAGCGAGAAATTATTCAGTTTTTGATTTGTGGAATACAAAATTTCTCCATCCGGAGTACTGTTGCATCGTTGAACGTGAATTCAGTTAACGAATTCTTGGACCGGATGCATGACATCACCAAAGCTGCCAATTCAATTCCAAAGCGTCGCCGGTTCTTTCCAAGAAGGATACAACGCAAGTATTCAAGGAATTCGTCAGTTCAAAGGATTTATCTGAGAAGAAATCAATAGTGTGTGCCTATTGTAAGCTGAAAGGTCACGTCAAAGCAGACTGTTACAGACTCAAAAGAAAGGAACAGTCTTCAACTGCTAATGCAACACCAAGTTCTTCTGGTTCATCTACAGCTGTTGGTGCGGCGGAGGAAGTGAAAGATCCTACCTCGTCCTCTACCCCGAGAGAGGATTCTCAGGTCGTTGGTTGCGTCAAGGAAGATTCTCAACGTCAACTTAAGATAAGTGACCAAGTAATAGAAATCAACTCGTTAAATGGGGTTCGCTGTAGTCTGTTAGCGTTAGTCGATACGGGTAGCCCTGTTTCGTTTTTTCAGGATTTGGTGTATAAAATATTTTTTGGTCAGAATCTCTCATTTAGTGACAACAATAATAATAAAAAATTTCGTACTTTATGTGACGCGAAAATAGAAGTATTGGACTGTAAGGAAATAGATATCGGTTTGTCTTCATTGCCCGATTTTACATTTCGTGTTTCTTTCAATATTATAAAGAGTGATAATTGGCCGACTCATATTGTTCTCGGAAGAGACTTTTTAATTGCGAATAATTTGACATTAGTTTACAATCCTTCAGATACGAAGGCTAGAGATTGTTTGAGATTAATTAATGAAGTGGCTTCTACTGCCATATTTGAAACAGACAAAGAAAATGAGTCGCCCATTGATTATCAGAAAATTAAAACGGATTTCGGACCTTGCGTAGATAAGCAAGTTTGTGATATTATAGAATCTGTTAGTAATCTATCAGTCGAAAAACCTAACGATGAATATTATGTGACCGTGTCACTTAAGCCGGTATCAGACTACGCATTGGAGATTGAGATTAAGATTGAGATTAAGATTGAGATCGAAGCTCAGCCAATGAGAACACAGCAGACTGAGATTGAGATTGGAGTTTGGAAATTAGAATTCCGTCTATTTTTTCAATCTTCAATCTCAATCTTAGCCAATGGCTTGACGACTTTTTGGTCACGTGATGACTACTGACATTTTTACCGAGAATGATTAGAGTCCTAGAATACAGAGATGCGACACGGCGTCAGTTAGGTTAGGTAGCCACCGCCATTTTAATTCAGTAAAGTACTCCTAACCTTATAAGCTGATAACAGTTGATGCAAAAAGAAAATAC